GGTTAAACTCCACTTCACCATGACCACCTTAACAATACAGCAATGATTGAGAGATCAGTGAGGTTCTGACGTCACATGTGCTTAGAGCCAGTGAACTCTATATATATCTGGAGCGTGAACTTCAGTCATTCGGTCTATGAGAAAAGTGAAACCAAGATGGCGGCCATTGACGACTTGACGTCCAATAGCTCTGAAGGTCGTAAACAGTCTTAATACCATGTTTGTGATGTTACTCTGAGTGTATATCCACACCGGGCAAGCTTGAAAAATATGCCTGACCACGGTGGGAATCGAACCTACGACCTTTGGAATACTAGCCCAATGCTCTGCCAACTGAGCTACGCGGTCAGGACGGTTCGAGTAAGTGATATTTCGGAACCGTCCTGACTGCGTAGCTCAGTTGGCAGAGCATTGGGCTACACTCTAAAAACACTCTGGTTAAATTCAACCAGGAATTGGGTTAATAATCCACCCAACACATTCTGGTTAAATTTAACCCATTTCCTGGTTAAAAATTATCAATTCAACAAAAATTTGGTACACTTTTTTGGACTTTTAACCAGGAAAATGGTTAATTTTTTTTAACCAGACTTGTGTAGGTGGATTTTTAACCCCGTACTGGTTGAATTAACCCAAATTTAACCAGAGTGTTTTTAGAGTGTAGTATTCCAAAGGTCGTAGGTTCAAATCCCACCGTGGTCAGGCATATTTTTCAAGCTCGCCTGGTGTGGATATATACTCAGAGTAACATCACAAACATATTATTCACCTGAGTACACAACACCAACACAGAAAAAAAAGTCTTAATACCACTTTCACCAGCTAATTCCAGTTTTTCTCTAACAGACCCTATCCCTAAACAAGTTTTCAGTTCATAAAACCATATATAGTCTTATTCTTTAAATCGAGGTCAAAATACGATATTTCGGCACACTCCTTGCAGCTTCGTGTTCAACACGCAGACTTTTAAAAACAATAGAAAGAGACGTGCAGTATCTCCATTATGGCCTCACTGTTTGGACTTCTCACTCCAGATGTATATAGAGCACACTGCATATCACAATGTAAATAAAGTCAGTTTTGTTTCATCACAATCTTACATGGAGGATCCAAATATCCAAACATTGACAGATGTCGAATTATTTCAACGCCAGGAGTCTTGAAAGGCACTAATACCATAGACTGAAAAAATAAATTTCTAGCTTTGAGTTCAACTTAATTTATATTCATTGATATATTTTCATTTCTTCTTACTTGTTGTTTATGTTTTGCAGCGCTCGGATCCGTCTTGCCCATGAAAACCGCGATTTCACAACGTGGGTCGAGAGCCCCTGTAAACAAGAATTCAAATTTTAAACTGAAATGCACAGTATAAATGTATTGCAATGAACTGTGGTGTTAGTGCCTTCATCTCGGAGACTGGGGTTCCTTTCCTGCAATATACAGACGTCTCTAAATATAATTTCACCTCAGTCGAGAAGACTGTGTAATTCTATTATTCTGGATCAATTAGGGATGGCTCTTAATCGACCTCCAGGGATTTCTACGAGCTATCTTGCAGTATCCAGTTGAAGTGTGTATGGCTACCTGACGTCCACCATTTTCTGCCGTTGATAATATAAAAGTCACCGTCCTGTTCAATTTTAGCCTGAATGTTTGTAGCGTCTGATGAGGCAACCTGAAACATTAAGACAGTAGTAAGTATATTTCACCTCTATGAAAAGGGGTCAGGGGAGTTGTCTCTTTATAATTTTGCATCAATCACATGTAAGAAACCATGAGCTCCATATATATCTCCAGTAAGAATCCGAGTCCAAAAGATGGCGGAAATTGACGTCTTCGCGTTTCCTCCTTTCGGAACCTGTCAATCTGTCTGTTTTGCACGTTTTGCTCTGAGCCGTAATGAAAATCGCCTCGGTGAGTTAGGGATCCCTCCCTGTTGAAATATTATCATCATAACATTCATCTTACATTTGGTTCCGTCATCGCAAAACAAGAACGAATACGACCATCTAAGAGAGGTTGAAGCCATTCTTCCTGAAATTAAAATTTTAAATAAATCACAAATTATCAAAAAAATTGTACTAGCTACAGTATCATACGAACCTTCTGTTCCTGCGATCCATATTTTATCAAAACTTCCATATTTCCCGTGTCTGGAGCAGAACAATTGAACATCTGAAATATATAACATAGGTTCAGTCAGGTTCAGTCACATCGCAGGGTTTCTCCGCATTCTTCCTGTGGTAACACTGGATCAAGAAGTCTTGGCCTTTACTTGACCTCTAGGGAGAACAGTTTAGAACTGAGAGAGTTATCCAGTATATATAAAGTTAGTTTAGTTTAGGTTTCCTCCTGTAGTAACACTGGATCAACAAGATATGATCCTTACTGGACCTCTGAAGAACTGTTTAGAATTGATAGAGCTATCCAGTATAAATGAAGTTAGTTTAGTTTGGTTGATTTAGATACCTAAACTTACCTCTGGAGCATAAACTGACTTGCCCATCTCTTCACAAAGGAAAGCATATTCAACGTTAGTCAAGCCAGCTCCATAAACTTTGCTTGGATCACATTCCACCGGAATGAACAAATTCCACAACCCAGCCGTTTTTGCTTTACTCTATATGGAAACAAAAATAAAAAAATTATTAATATTAAAATTATTTATTATAATTTATTAATTATAAAAATTTTATTAATATTAAAGTACTATCAATCGCTATCCTTCCAGACTAATTCTAGTTACCTATAAGTATAATACAATTAATATAGTACCGCGGAGAAATAACCGGAAAAACCGTGGTTAACATATGGCAGATCTAGTGCTGCCCCGAACTGTAGCAACAGGTCATGCAATGCATATTTTTAATGATTTGCATTATTCACATGTTTAGAAATGTATTGTCTTTAACCATTTAGACGCAGGTATAATAACATAGCATGACCAGATCCCATGGCTAGCTTCACCACTGAGTAGATCCAAGGATCAACCACCGAACCACCGTCAATAAAAGTGTTCTTGGTGAATACCTTGAGTTGCTCCATAAGTGGATGAGGTTTCCAACAATCTTCTGATTTCTGATGTTCCTCGAATACACTCTCGTTTGGGTAAACATGTTCCTTCATAAAATCCTGCAACGTCGCCAGTAAATCTTGCACATCATCCGCCAGGGCATTCGCTGACATCGGCATAAATCCTAAAGAGGAAACACACTTCAAACACCTAGTTCGCGGTGCAAAATCTGGTTCGTTTTATATCATACATTTTAACATGAAAAAGAAAGTATACCTACCTGGATGGTGAGATGTACTAGTACTGTAGTTCCTTCTGTTTTGTGCACCAGATTGTCCAGGCTTTGTCTGAGTAAACGACCATCCTGCTTTAGCCATTGTCTCTGCTAGTAATCCCATCTTCTGAGCATCACTGGAGCTTTCTTGACCTTTAAGAGCAAACTAAACTTGTTAAATTTGGCGAGGTTTATATCGTCATTACAGAGTAAGCTCTTATGATTTGAGTCTGAACTATCTGAAAAAGATTGAAAACACCTTGACGTTTCGACCAAAGGACCTTTTACAGGCTCCTGACGATGACTCAAAAGTGTCTCTAATGCTTTTAGCTAGTTCAGACACAAATGTTTATTTTGAAACTCCAAGACTAATAATTATTTATTGATAGGTGCAGCAGATGCCACAACTTCAGAATTGGTGAGACGGATGGGAGCAAGAAAAATAAGCACAATTTGATCTATTTTCCCCCAAATACAAGACTACATATAATAAAAAGAATGAACATCATTTTCTCACTCTGATAACTGCAGGTTGATCACCATCTGCTGCACGATAGTGCTTTGTGAAACCTAGCTATATAATAAGTAGGTAGTAGAACTAAAAAGTGAATCATATGAAAACAAACCTTTCAATGAACGTTTATAAACTCCTTGCAATATCGCGGCTACACGGAACAATATGAACGCCATGTAGACGTTCCAGTTCTCAATCAATGGTATGTTCATTCTCTCACAGTATTCGCGCATGTATTCTTCATATGTAGGGATACCCAGTGACGAAACATCCACATTTGAAAGACCTTAACATGGAGTGAAATCTGATGTAGTTGGTTTATGCAGAAAAACACGGAGAAAAATTGGATATATGAATGTATATTATGGTCAGTAGTGGTATGGTGTGGTATTGTGTGGTAATATATGATATAGATGGTGTGAAATAGTATTATATAGTGGGCTATGGTATGGTATGGCGTAGTATGAAGTGATATGGTAAGGTTTGGTATGATATTGTATGGAAAGGTACAGTACAGTATGTTATGGTAAGGGACAGTATAGTATGGTAAGGAATAGTATAAGTATAGTAATATGGTATGGTACAGTAAGGTACAGTATAGTAAGGTATGGGACAGTATAGTATAGTATAGTATAGTATAGTATAGTATAGTATAGTATAGTATAGTATAGTATAGTATAGTATAGTATAGTATAGTATAGTATAGTATAGTAT